CGTGTGGTGGCTGGTGGAGGACGAGACGTGGCAGGCGCGCGGTGAACTGACCATCTACGTCAAGAACGACCACGCCGGGACGTACGTCTGCGCTCACGCCAAGGACAAAACAAAATGGGCGTTCCAGGAGGTCCGAGTCATTCCCCCTGAAACGTCACCTACGCCTCCGCTTATTCCACAGGTAAGCACCGAAGGAAAGGGCAGTACCAAAAGCAACACGACACCATTGAAGACAACCCCGTCCAAAAACGGAGCCACTACTAAAGGCAACACGACACCAACCAAGATGAGCCCACCCGAAAACGGTGACAGTTCTAAAAGCAGCAGTACGACACCGTTGAAGACAAGCCCATCAGAAAGCGGTGCCAGTTCTGCACCTTCGGCAGGAAATGCGCAGTCGTCATCATCGCCAAGCCAGAGTCCCGGGGATATGTCGGGAAATGAGGCAGGTGACAACATTCCCAGTCGTTCAACACCTGCTCTAACCGACTCCGCAAAAGCATCTACAGCATCGGGAGCGAAAACCTCTCCCAAAGACGCCTTGGCGTCAACGACTAAGGGAGATGCGTCAATGGTGGACACTGTTGAAGCCGGGGAAGACAACAACAACAACGCGGTTCCCTTGGTGCCAGGTTTGGGATCCAAAACAACACAGAAAACGTCCACTACGTCCGGTGGTGATGGCGCTATAGGCGGGCCCTTGTCAGGTTCAGACAGCCAAACGGCAACCCCGCAAAGTGGTCAAGATGGCGATTCAGGGAAGTCGCGGCATAGAGGCGACTCCGTATACCCGGGTGGTTCCGGTTACGGCCAGGATCAGACGACACAGACATCTTCTTCGGTCAGTGGAGTTGGTTTGGTGGCAGGGGTGCTTCCAGACGGCTCGGTCGTGAAGATACCGATTAACGAACAAGGCAGCTCAAGCGGCGGACAAGAGACCAAGGCTAGCCCCTCAACAAGAGGGGACATGAGTGGCCTGTGGGTTATAATCGCCGTAGCTGCCATAGTAGCAACGTATATACTCATTGGCTTGCTCTGTTGCATCGTGTACAAGTGTAGAAAGAGAAGAAAAGGCAAGGCGCCCATCGTTATGATCGAAGAGAGTCCGGAGAAACACGGCATAGAGGGAGGGAATGAAAGTATCGAACTCGTCGAGAAAAATCCCAACCTTGCTTTTACTAACAACGCTAACGATCAGTCTACAGACAGTAGCATCTCCACCACAGATACTGTTAAACTGTCTAACGATGTCGCCAGTCCTACCAAGTGGACAGCTCCGGGCTTTCCTCTCGCTCTTCCTGACCAAAATGAAGGGCAGATTCTAGACAGGCACAGCAAAGACCCGTCCGATCGCACATCGGGACCCCCTAGAAGTGACGAAAGGTTAACACAAGAGACAGCTATTTTGGACGACAGTACTGGCAGCGAGGACGATGATGAAATTCCCGAAAACGTCGTCAATCCCGACAAATGGATAAACCCGCACCAGTTGCAGGCCATTCCTGACCAGAAACCAGACAATCGCGATTCCGTTCCCGACGTCAACCGCTCCCCGAATGGGTCAGAGTCCTTTTGGAAGAACCCACTCACGTCTCTAGACAGAAAGAAGATACCAAAAGAACCATTCCAAAGCAAAGATGGCAACAGCAAGACGCCGAAGTCCCCAGAGGAAATACCAGACGTCTACCCGCCCCCGGATCTGTCGGACTTACCTCTATTTCGGTCGCCGAAAGGACCCAATGACACACCATCTATCCCCGATGAAAGTATCTGGAAACGCCTGTCGCAAATAGATTCCATTTCACCATATAACTCCTTAACCTCGTCACCAACCTCGTCAGTGAAAAATGACCCATCAACTTCTTCGAAGGAGCCGCCATTCAAAAGCACAGACTCTCCGCCTGCAAAGATTCAGGATAGACTTTCCGACCACCTACAACAGAAAACAAAACAAAAGCCAGCAGACGAACCTAAGAAAGAGAACCTCCCGCTGTCTAATGGAGATGTTGAAAAGCCGAGCTCGCCTCAAAAGACACCTTCTAACGCAGCTACAAATATAGACACTCCACTTGCTACACTTAAAGACAAAACTACTGACCTCTCACCAAGGCGACCGCAAGAACCACCAGTCGAACCTAGAAAAGAGGGCGTTACGCCAGGCCCTAAAAGCAGTGAAAATCCAAAACCTCCACCCTCCACCCCTCAATCTCCTTCTGCTTACTCAGATAAAGGAGACCAGGACAACTTAGAACAGAAGCCACTCAAGTCACCTTTCAAAAAAACCAAGGATGAGCCGCAAAGTACAAAACCTAAAGAAAAGGGAGCAACTCTTAAGCCGTCGACATCCACCCCAAGTGATCAGAAAGACCCGCGACGGCTATCCCTCCCTCTGTCCGTAGCAGATAGCCTGAAAAAACTCTCAATCTTTTCACCTGAGGATACTCGGGCACCCTCCGAAGCACCGACGAAGCCGCCCAGGAAGTCAAAACTATCCGGGTATTCAGGGCTGTCAAGATCGCGAGACTTTGTCATACCGCCTTTCGATAATTGATTAAATTGACTAAAATGTGAGGCACTGAGGAACGCGTACTACACCCATATTAAAGGAGGACAAAGCAGACTATGGCAGAGTTAACAAAAACATACAAAGAGAAATTTACAGCCCTAAACTTGTAGTTACAATATTTATGACAATCGCTGCTTCATTATCAAATCATCTAGACAAGCTTTAGCCTACTAGTACATGTACTCGGCAAAGTAATACTAGTAGACACTACGAACTGACGTGTCTCTATTAATGTCAAGTCAAATTGTTTAAGAATGTGACTTTAATATTTTCTATGGCTAGGAACTATGCATATATAATATGTATACTAGGCTGAGATAAATAATAATATATGGATCCTGTCTATAATGTACAATTTAGTCGCAGTTAAAAACTGTAAGTTAAGTCATTGCATGAGAAAACCAGGCAAATTCGGTGGAAGGTTGGAAGATGGGGGTCGGCCAAATCCGCTCATATTTTGTATATTGGATAGGTATGGGTCGATAGGCATAACACAATCAGACACCACAACAGCCAAATGCAGACTTAGTTTTTCTATGTGTTGTACATGTTGTTGTCGTGAATCCGTATCACGGTTCTGTTCGTGCCTACATTGTATTTTTATGTAAGGCCAGTACAATTCAGCGATCCGTGATTTTTTCTGTACTGCTGCCATGCTAACCACTGACACTGTTTGAATAAAGAATGCGTAACCACATTGTATCAACAGCCATATGATTAAAACCATCCAGCTCTATTTTTGTGGAGTTCTGGAACCCCCCCCCCCATAGAGACCACTGGTCATTACTGTAGCTGTGGTGTGTTTGTGTTGGATTCAGTGATGGCCTGAGACTGACCCTGTCCTGTCTAATCATGACCACTGGTCATTACAGTAGCTGTTGTGTTTGTGTTGGATTCAGTGATCGTCTAAAACTGACCCTGCCCTGTCTGATCATGACCACTGGTCATTACAGTAGCTGTGGTGTTTGTGTTGTATTCAGTGGTAGCCTGAGACTGGCCCTGCCCTGTCTGATTATGACTACTATTCGTCACAGTAGCTGTTTTGTACAGAGAATTTAGCTGTGAGGAAGTCTGCCTAGTGCCATAAAATAGATTTCTAGCATCCAGTGTTTCAATGTTGGTCTGAGACTGACCCTGCCCTGTCTGATCATGATCACTGGCCATTACTGTAGCTGTTATGTTTGTGTTGGATTCAGTGCTGGCCCCGTACATGGTATTCGGTTTTAAGACAGCCAACACTTCGTTAGATAGATTTGGTGGTTTTTGTATGCCCCCGTACATGGTATTTCGTTTTAAGGCAGCTAACACTTCGTTAGATAGATTTGGAACTTCCAGAGATTGAATGTTAGACTGAGAATGACCCCTGTCCTGTCTGATCTTGACTGCTGTCAATATCCTCATACTGGTTGTCATGACTACTTGTCATTACAGAATTGTCATTACAACCCTGTAGATGTTGAGTTTATTTGGTGGTGTTTCCATGTCGCCGTACATGGTATTTCGTTTTAAGGACAGCTAACATTTCGTTAGATAGATTTGGAACTTGCAGAGACTGACCCTGCCCTGTCTGATCTTGATTGTTGTCAATATTCTCATACTGGTTGTCATGACTACATGTACTTGTCATTACAGAATTTACTGTGTTTGTGTTGCCTCCAACAACATTGGGATTCAGTCCTAAAGGAGGCTACCTAGTCCTCATCTTGTACCACACTATAAGAATGATGGCGCATGTCAGGACAATGCCAGTAACTGGACCAAAAACTGACCCTGTGAAAAAAGATAGAGTGGAACTGGGAGCAGTTTCTGGTCTCTCTGAAGTGATTGCAAGGGGTGAAGTTAGCGCTAATCTTGTTTTGCTTGCATTGCCTGAATGATTTGCTGTTGAGCCAGCAGTGCGTGTAAAGCCACCAGTGATAGCGAGAGGTGGTGGTAGCGTTGTAACGACTTTTAGCAATTTCTAATGGGCTAACATGGGGCTGTGAGGCAGATGTCAAGCCTACAGGGTGTGATGTTGGGCTAGTATTGCTTTCTGTGTTGCCAACTGCAGATGAGGTTCGGATATCAACAGTTGGTGGCAATACGGGCTCTTTACAAATATCTTTAGGATCAATATCTGTAAGCTTTTTATTCCGAAGATTGGGGGGTCGCTTACATATTATGTCGTTGAACTTATTTGAGGGAATATTCGTGATATTCAATCTGACAGGAGCCATCTTACAGTCACACTGAAAAGGGTTCAAGCCAAGTTTTATGGCACGAATAGATGGCAACAAGCCAAAAGCTGCTGGGAGAATGGTAGACAACTGGTTTCTCTGGAGGTCCAAAATTTCGAGCAGGGGAAGATTTTCAAATGCATTAGCTTGGATGTTAGTTATCCGATTGCAGTACAGCTTCAACTCCTGCAGTTGGGGTAGATTTGCAAATGTACCTGTCCGAATCATTGTTATCTGGTTGCGGGACAGGTATAAGTTTTGTAGCCGGGTTATATTTTGGAATATTTCTATCGGAATCCTTGTTAACTGGTTGTCATCCAGGCACAACTGTTCTAGTAGGGATAGGTTCTGAAATGCATGAGCCTGGATCGCATTTATCTGGTTTTTGGACATGTGTAACTTTTCTAGTCGTGGTAGATGTAAAAATGTACTGGACAGAATTACTCTTATCTTGTTGTTGTCCAGGTACAACTGTGCCAGTCGTGGTAGATTCGCAAATGTAGCCATTTTTATCTTGTTGTGGGACAGCTGCAACTGTTCTAGTAGGGGTAAATTGTGAAATGTACGAGGCTGAATCACTGTTATCTGGTTTTTAGACAGGTACAACTCTTTTAGTACGGGTAGATTTCGAAATGTCCCTTCCCGAAACGTCGTTATCTTGTTGTCGGCCAGATCTAACTTTTGTAGTCCGGGTAGTTTTTGAAATGTCCCTGCCAGAATCATTGTTATCTTGTTGATGGACAGGTTTAACTCTTGTAGTCTGGGAAGCTTTTGAAAAGAACATTTCTGAATGGTTGTTATCTGGTTGCCTGTCATTCTTAAGTGCCGTAGCCGGGGTAGATTTTGAAATGTTCCTGCCTTAATCATTGTTATCTTATTGCCACACAGGTACAACCCTCGTAGTTTGGGTAGATTTTGAAACGTACCAACATGAATCATTTCTATCTGGTTGTGCTGCAGGGACAGTGATGCTAGTTTTGGTAGCTTTTGAAATATACCTGGTTGAATCCATGTTATCTTGTTATATGTAAGATCTAAATACGTCAAATGCCTATACCTTAGCAGAACAGCCGGATTTACAGATGTAATACAATTTTTAGCCAACTGCAAGCTTAAGATGGATGGCGGGAGGTTCGGAGGGATGCTGGTGAGTCCCTTGTCGATGCACCTGCAGTGTGATGACGGTGCACAGCTGCAGACAGCTGCTGGCATGGTGGGTTGCTTCAGGATGATGAGAAGGAAAATCAGCACGTGTCGAAGCTTTCTTCCCATGGTGCACTGCCACCTAGAAATATCAGGAAGCACCTTTCTAAGACCGCCCCTTACTACATGTCCCCTTGGGGCCCCTTTTGCAATTGTGTCCGAAGCATTACATGTATATGGGCCTGTTGATTGTCTGAGACTTGCTGCTTGAATATCCATGTTGTGTACTCTTTCTCATTACCCTGTTGGCACTCCCAGGCAAGGAAACTAGCAGAAGAGTAGAGAATTGAACACTTCTTTTTAAAATGATCTTTAGTCAATCATCAGTTATTTTCTGTCATTCCATTAAAACAACCATTATAGGACAGTTTTTCTTAGACCTTCTTATTAGTCACGTGCACCACTCTTATGAATCTCAATGACACTCAGAACTAACATAATCTCCAAGCAGATATTAAAATGAAAGTTTTTTAAACGTTTTCTGACGGCCGGGCTTCTCTTGCTGCTATGTACATGTACCATGATTGCCGACATCAGCTCAAAACGGCATCTGAACATCTGCTTGGAGAATAGACCCTTGATTGACTGCCTATGTGCGTATTTCATTTCATTTATTTCGAAACCTTTTAGCCTCGAAGGGCTAATCTTCCAAGGCTCAAACAATTACATAAGTACATAATTACAACATAGTAGAAACATTTAAAAATACATACATACATACATGTACACCACATTAACAATAAATACACATAGATATTAACAATTTAAAAATAGCGAGCAAGGGTCAAGGATCAGGTGACACTACTACTGTTTGAAACGGCTTTCTTAAAACTGATAACATCGCACAGTGTCTTAACGTCAGATGGTAGATCGTTCCAGAGCACGACTGCACGGTACAGGAATGAGCGTTTTCTGCTGTGACAGAGTTTGAAAAGCGTCTTCACTACAAATTTATAGTCTCTACCAGACTAAGTACGCTGGCTATATATAGGAGAATATTTGCCAGGGGAGTTTGGCCGCCTTGTAGGTTTGACTGGCCGCTTCGGGAGGGAAAGAAATTACCTCCCCGCGGCCGGACTCCCTTGGTCAATTTTACTCTCTTTTTTTTGCCGAATTCTAAGATTCGTATTCCCGTAGAAAGGCCTGGTGAAGGATAACAAATTTAACCATTTACGTTCATCCACCGACGAAAACGTACCTTTCAAGTGAGTCAGAATAACTTCAGTTGCCACTTTAAGACCGCAGCTTTTTGTAACAGTTGTTCTTGTAGGGTGTGTTCTTCTTCGGTAGCTGATCCGTAATGCCGTGTGACAAACAGCCCATGATTATATAATATATAGCCTATATATTAATTACGTAGGAGTTGATTGTCTGAAGCTGGCTTTTTTGAATAACATTAACATTTATGACCATGATTAAAATTCTAATGATGATGCAGGTCTCGAGATGCATGTTAACTTCTTTTCATGCTACAAAAAAGAAGAAGAAAGAAACTAGGAACAGATTTCTAAGATTTGATTGAGAAAGACAAGAATATCAAATTCTGGCATAAAGGTAAATGCAATTTTGAATAGTTACACACGTGTTTTGTGTAATAACATACATGTATTATGCGTATTTTTTCATTGTATAAACAACAGAGTGTGGGAGGCAATGGTGCCTTATGTTTGAAGAATGGCCTTGTTAGAGCGCGTGGGCACTGATCCACGAGGTCGCTCGACGAATTCGTTCTGAAAAAATGAAATAAGGCCACATCAAGTACTAGTAGTTTTTATGGATGGCATCAGCGCGCATTGATTTTCGCCTGGTTTTGGGGAAAAAATTGTTGCCCTCTGACAGTGGTCAACATGCCGAAAATGGGCAAAGATAACTGCTGCCATGCCGAAACGTGGATTGAATGTTTTGTCTTTTATTTTGATGCAGTAGTTCATTTCATTCATTTTATATGTGATGGTGTCTGTGTATATGTGACGTGCCCACTGAATCCAAACCATTTGTACAATGATTAAAAACTTTAAGTTTTCAGAATTGTTTCAGTGCTTCGGTGCTTTGTGGGGTGCGTACAGCTCCATCGAAATTATCTGGGTAATCAGGTTTGGAATTTCACCTTTGACCCTACTCCGCCATCTTTCTTGTTTTCTTCTCAATCATATATATTTGGTTGCATCTCGCCCTAGCCTGACTAAATCGCGCTCCTGGCGGCCGCCGCCCTAGGTTGCCGCCCCCAAAAAATTTCCTAATACTGGCTTCCTATTGGTGACTCCAGGAAAGGGAACGGGCCGCCCGACTTACAGCTATTCTGCCACAAGCTCTTGGGGTGGGGGTCATTAACCTCCAGCCGAGAGCTTGTGTATACACAGGCTACATCTCGCCCGATTTGCCTCCTGGAATTTATGGTCTTGTGTCATCAGCAAGGAAGTAAGTTGACTTTCAGTTATCCAGCATAAGCATGAACAGTTGTTCATGTGTAAGACATCTTCCTTTAGTTAGTAAAAGCATTGGTTTGAGGTATTAAAGGAAATGAACAGTCAATTTGTTGTTGTCATTAGGGCGTGTGAGCTCTTCTAGAGCTGTATGTGCTTTCGGAATGGTTCGACATATAAACGTGTACGACCACAATGTAACGTTATATGCAATTGAAATGCGGGAAAATACGTTTTGTGTGTCCGAAGTACCATTTGCGAAGGAATCTAGCCACCAAAGGCTTTAATTTGGGAGATAAAAACACGATTAGAATCTACAATTACCCCCCCCCCCTCACCAGAGGGAATTTGGTATCGCCTAGCCAAAAACAACAACAAACTAAAACGAAGCGTAAGCATCACGAAAGAAAAAGCGCCCACATAACTAAATCAATTTTCATTAGATATTTTTTAATGAAATTAATACCGCTTAATTGAGACCATACACTATATTCATAATATAAGCAATGGCAAATATTAATATTAATGCATGTATGATATTAAATATCCATTCATTCCTGACGGTACCCGTGCCCTGGTCTCTTCCCTTTATGGTCTTAACAAGCTTAATGTTCTCATTACAGCATCATGGCAACAACAGAACCAACACTGCACGGTCTCTCCAGGGATGTGACCCTGGCTGTACTCTCTAGGTTGTACACTGAAGAACTGGTGCTAGAACTCAGTAGAAGGAACATCAATATGGGAGGCCATTCTATCAACAAAGTACTCCTGGTCTGTGTTCTGAGGGACGTGATGACGAAGGAATATCGTGATTCAGAGTCTGACAAAAATGCGCCACATGATGATACAGTCGACATGTCCATTCAGTGCTTTGATGACACAGAACTAGCAGAGCAAGAGGAGGTTCAAACTCAGACCCTCCAGAAGTATTCAGAGACATTGTCAAGAACCAGGCCAAGTTCTCATGAAGGCAAGAGCTCGTCAGATGCTGGCAACAAAGATGCCACTACAAGCAAAGAAAGTGGCAATTCAGAAGCCTTTACAAGCACAAGTTCTTCAACAATTGCAAGCAACCAAATCCCATGTGTAAATAGTGCTACAAGTAAAACTGCCTCGAAAGATGCACCTGTAGCCCCATTTCAACCTGAATCTGAGGTTGGTGATTCTTATGCCACGCAGATTATAAAACAGGAAGTTGAGGAGGAAGAGGTAACCCTAATAGGGTCTTTCAACGTTCCCTCAAAGCAAGATACAGCAACATTGGACGTGGCGACCACTTCTGGTTCAAATAACTCGTATCATAGTGAGTTCAACATTGACTCAACTACTTTCAGTACAGATGTGCTAGATATTGATGGGCCAGAGGCAGAGAGTAACTCTTGCCATGAGCAACCTTTCGAAGGAGACATTACAAGTGAGGAAACAGCTTTGGCTTCTCAGCTGACTCCAGAACACGGCAATGTACGTAGGTGGGAATGTCATCCGTCAGACAACGATGGAGTGAGGCAAATTTACCAGCAGCCCTATTCGGAACATTTCGAAACTTACACTGAGAACGGAGATGTTCTTTTCAGCAAATCGAGAGCCAATCGAGGTAACATCAACGGAACATCGGCCATAAGTAATGTGCAAAGGGACCAACCTCGCAATTTCCAGACTTCTGAGAACGCGGCATCCCATATTTCCGAACGTGGCATTCCAGACGATTACAAAGGTCCCTACACATGTACTATCTGTGGGTTCAAAAGTGCGTACGGTCTGTCTAATCACATGAAACGTCACAGAGGATCCGGAGATAAAGAAAAGCCCTTTATGTGTGGGGAATGTGGCTACCGGGCAGACGGTAAGAGTAAGCTTGCCGACCACATGAGAAAACACACTGGAGAAAAACCTTTCAAGTGTGATCGATGCGACTTCAAGGCGGCATACAAACGCCAGCTTAACGTGCATCTGAGAAAACCACATTACAGCTGTGAAATCTGTGACTACACTACCTATCTAAAGGCAAAGCTTAGGACACATATGAAAGGACACCGTATGAGGACTTACTATGATAATGTACAAATATGAAGACCACATGAGAAAACACACTGGAGAAAACCTTTCAAAAGTGATTGATGCAACTTCAAGGCGGCATATAAACGCCAGCTTAACGTGCATCTGAGAAAACCACATTACAGCTGTGAAATCTGCGACTACACTACCTACCTGAAGGCAAAGCTTAAAACACATATGAAAGGACATCGTATGAGGACTTTCTATGATAATGTACAAATATGAGGACTGACAACATAGCCTGGAATCCATTCGTGAACACTTTATCTCCGCTCCGTTTCTTCGCTCTGCCTTCACAGAGCGGAGGAACGGAGTGGAGATAAAGTGTTCACGGATGGATTCCAGGCTACTGACAACATAACGGCTCATTGTGAAAGCCATCTTGGTAGACATAGGCCGAGCCACTGTACCAGTGAGAAACACTACAATTGTCAAGAGTGTGACTTATAAGACAAATGAAAAGGACAACCTCAATCGACCGACATATGATGAGAAACAAGCACCATTGAAAAATTCTGTCAGTCACCAAGTTATGTCTTTATATGTAGTTGACAAGAAGTAAAAAGTCATAACATTCCTTGCATGAACTATTGATGAAACACTTATGATATAGTTAGCTATATAATAACTATTTCAACTAGTTGCCCATGATTGTAACATACTTTGAAGAGAAGAAGCATACAAAGAAGAAGCACGACAGTATTAAGAATACTATAGATGAGATGTATTCTTGTGCCTATGATGTCTTTTTTTTTTTTTGCTCTGTAAAATAAATAAGATACGTATCCACTCATTGTATCTTTACTGTGTCCCATCTGTTTGATCTATAAAGCCTTTTCACATTTCCTTCAGTGTCCTATCAGGTGTCGTCTGTCGATTGATTATTCTGGAAAATATTGGTTGTCTGATGATGGTTGTCTGCCTGTAATGTTTTTTTTCTCACCTTGAATTCTCACCTTGAAGATCAGCCAGTAGGTACCATCTAGGGTAATGAGGCTGGCCTAGCTTTGGCGGTAGTGGCAGTCAGTAGCTAAAGTTGTACTGGAACTGGTCCGGATGATCCTTCCACTCGATCGCCAGTCTTGCTTTAAACTGGTTCACAGTACTTCTGGATACTGTACTCTCTGACAGTCTATTCCAGGCTGGAATCGCTCGTGTGTAGAAAAAGTTTGACCTCTGCCCTTTTGCCAGTTGGACCTGGTACTTGTATTGGTGACCCCTGGTATTTGTGGCACTGCTGCGTGTGAGTGACATTCTGTTGCACAGCTTGCACTGGTTAATACGTACCATGTCTATCCCATGTGTGATTTTGAACAGCTGTATTACATCTGTTCGCTGCCTTCTGTAGTACAGCGTTGGTAGGCCCAGGACTGCTAGCCTTTCCGAATATGAGAGGTGGGCTATACTTGACACTAGCTTTGTCGCTCTTCGCTGTACCCTTTCTAACAGGTCTCTGTCCCTCTTAGTTCTGGGTGACCATACAGCTGTAGCGTACTCCAAGTGTGGGCGGACTAGGCTCTTGTATAGCAACATGAAGGAGTCCTCATCCAGGTACTTAAAGGTGTGTTTGATAGTCCCCAGTACTCTGTTGGCCTTGTTGACCTGGGTTTGTACATGGCTACTGAAACTCAGCTTACTGTCAATTAGTACACCCAGGTCCTTTTCTTCCTCGATGCACTCTATCCTGTGCAGTGTACCATCTGCTTTTGACATGGTGTATTCATGCCGGTGTGTGGTGTATTCATGCATGGTGTATTCATGGTGTATTTTTTTGGCAAAAAACAACACATTCACGAAAAGACATGAACCCTTTCTTGTAGATTTTTTTGCTGTAACAGTCTTTTTTTTCTATTTCAATTATTTCCCATGCTAACCACTCAACCATTGAACCTTTGGTGATTTGTACGGTCCGCACTGTTCCGCTGAAGCTATCTGGGTAATCAGGTCATGAATTTCACCTTTGACCCTGTCCCGCCATCTTGTTTCCTACTGAAGCGACTCAGCGACGCGTCTGTTTTTGCCTCTTAGAATTTACGATTTTCTGCGCATCAACAAGGAAGTAAGTTGACTTTCAGTTACCCAACATAAGCATAAATAGTCGTTATGTTCCTTTAGGTCGTAAAAACATCGGTTTGAGGTAAATAAATAGTCATAATTTGACGTTCTTGTCTACTTATAATTAGTATCTCGCTTGTCCGGTTCGACCAAATTATGACATAAGTTTTAGCCATGCCAAACATTAATTCATGCATATTTGTTCCAATTCTAGGACATCTTGGCTCCAGATTCAAAGGAAGAAATACTCCTAAACCACCTTCCTTGAGCTTCTTACGCTAATAAAGCAGGTAAGTTAAAACATGACCCTTAGGCCTATACCAAAATTATGTGGGGAGGGGGCGTCCTACGAGTACAAAACTGCACCAAAAAAAAACACGTTTCATACCCCATACATAATAACTAAGTAACCTAATTTCAACCTTGCTATATACGTTGAGCATAGGCAAGAATTACCTCCTTGGTGTATCTAAAAGAGCCTTTGACGTCATAGATTTATAGGTGTTGACATACAGGAAAATCGGCAATAGTCATAATATTGCACATAATGTCCAAGAAGTCAATAGATATAACATTACATTTTGTAACTAACAGGCTTATTTCATTTATGAATGCAGGATGCCTGGGTTGATCTACGGCCTCTCACGTGAAGTGACCATGTCAGTCCTCCCTAGACTCAACGTAGAAGAGCTGCTATTCGAACTCAGCAGAAGGGTGAAAAACCTGGACAGGGAGAACACCATCAAGGACAGACTGGTCGGCATCCTTAGGGATGTCATGTTGGAGGAATACCATCAGTTGGGGAGGAAGGCAGAAGGAAGTTTTCCAAACGAAGTGACCATAACGCTACCCGTACAACAAGAACACGAGACGCTAACCCTGCAAGAGATCATCCCAGCTGCATACGCTGAAGCAATTACATGTATAACTTCATCTTCTGACGACACACCATCTTTCAGTACCCAGTTGCTTGATACAAGTAGCACAATGGGTACTTATTCTACGGCAACTCCTTTGGATGGTGATGAAAATGCAACTCCGGATCAGGGCGCAGCACCTATTCTACCCGACGCTGAAACACAAGCTGATAGCAGGCCTTTTATGTGTGACAAGTGTGGTTATAGGGCAACGAATAACGGAAACCTTGCCACGCACATGAAAAGGCATTCTGCTGTGAAACCGTTTAAGTGTAGTAACTGCAAGTTCAAGACAGCAATTAAAAGCGACCTTGTGAAGCATTTGAAAGTGCACTCGGGCTTGAGACCACACAGGTGTGAACTCTGTGACTATAAGACCTACCGAAAGTCGGACGTTAAGAAACACATGTTCGTGCACACTGGTGCGAAGCCCCTCAAGTGTGAAAGATGCGACTACAGAACGGCTCACAAACCCGCTCTCACTGTACACATGAGGCGTCACACTGGTGAGAAGCCCTACTGTTGTCAAGTGTGTGACTTCAGGACTACTGACACGGGCAGCCTCATTCGACATATGAAAAACAAGCACAATGAATATAACTTAGCCAGGGTACGAGAACCCTACCACAAATGAGTGAGAATCCTTTCGGCCAGAGAAGCCTTACGCCAGGTGCTAACAGCACTGGCATCTTAGCTCTAGTTTCTCCTCACTAGCATACACGTATAGATGAAGAAAAAATGAACCAAATAAGATACAAATGTAAAATCACTGTCTATCAGTCACCAGTTGTATCTGTATACTAGTGTGTACACTGTACAGCACCAGAAATATATGGTGTAAATTTGCATGACTTTTTTTCAGTACTTGAACTTTAAGCATACTTTGTTACTGAGAAACCTTGTTTCAATTGTATATATTATAATTTTGAGCTCTGTCCCTGTGTGATTTAGCTCAAAGTTTGTTTAGCTCAACGTTTCAGCTGTATGTATTTTGGGCTTGGTTCCTAAGGTTTAGCTCAAAGTTTGTTTTCATGTAATTAGATGAGAGCAGTAAAAGTTAGCAAAACAATGTAGATGTGATATTTTAAATTTAGCATCTTTACTTGTTCTGGTGTCATGTTACAACCTTGTCTGCTGTGTCTCTATACTTGACAACAGGAATAAAGTTGAACGTTGGCAAAGATTTTGTACTCCTGTCTCAATTAATTAAAACTTGAGTTACAAGTTGGCTAGCCTGTAGTGCAAACTCTTGAACTGTCCCTGGCTTTATCAGGCCCCTGCCTGTACAATGCAGGATAATGTTCATTTCCAGGCAAGGAGTCAGACTTAAAACAATAAGTGTTCAGATGTCTTCATTAGCTTTAATGTCATTCAAATAGGTGTTTAGGATTATCTGTCACCATGGAAACCAGTCATCACACCTTCCAAAACCTAACAAATGCTACTTGGTACATTATACATAAATCATAAAGATAACTAGAAAGGTAACATTTGCAAAGCAAATGCATAATGTTTACTTTTGCATATGGTCTGCATGCTCTGTTAATTATTACTCATACCAAGGACATTATACTCAGGTAATGTCCTTGCTCATACACATTCATATATATGGTGACATCTCTCCTGCTATAAATTGCAACATGACTTAACCCAAGGCTAGTTGCCATGGTGACAGACGTCTGCTTCAGGTCATTGACCTTATTTGTTTGGAGAAGAAGAAGAAACTGAGCAAAAACAATGTTTTCCGAAAGGATCTCCCAGATGTTTCAGTAGCTTAGACAGTATACACGTCAATTGGCCAGACAGTATCCAACGGGCGACAAAGCTGCTGGATTTCTATCAAAACTATCTCAGTGTCGTCAGCCTTCATGCCAAAAAATCATGACATCAAATGGGTCATCAGTGGTCCTGACCTGACGTAACCTTTGACCTGGGTGTGGTTTGTGTCAGCCATATTTGTTCTAGGACGTCGACGTCTTGGCTTTAAATTCACCTTCTTCTGACGGCGTGGCAACAAATCAGGTAGGATGAACCTTTTTAAGTTGAAGTAGACTCTAAAACGTGGTATTCTGTGCAATTATAACCCAAATAATCGTAGGAGGTTAACGCTATATTTATATTATTACTAGTATTAAATGTGGGGAGGGGGGCGTCCTACTACAAAGAACAAAAGACACAGTTTTCGAGTTAAACTTCCTGGCGAAAGAGCTCCCGCTCAGCTAATGTATGACTTCTTTGGCCAAGAATATAACGCTATCTTCATAATTTTCACGAAAAACGTAACTATATGCGTTTAGATCAGTGCGGCACTAGAAATGATGTTTGCATCATTTTAATCATGAATATGAATGATTGAAGACCTTGTTTGTATATTTTTGCCCTGTTGGGCTATGCACACGTCACATGTTAATAATCATGTACAATGTACATGAGATTTTGCAAGCATTAAGTATCAGCTACGCCAAAAAAAAAAAAAACAGTTACTCAAGTAACTGGATATGATTTTGGAAACCATTTCCAAAATCATATCCAGTTGCTTGTGTTACTTACTAGTACTGTTTTTTGGCGTATCTTATTACCAGGATGTCTAACCTTCACTGACATATAAAGCATAAGCTTTTAGCATTCAGCTGCAGTACAGAACTGGTTCCAATCTGGGCCCAGGACAGATAAGAATTCTAAGAGGAATTGCATTCTGAATATTGGAATTCCAATCCTCTGTGTGAGTCTGTCCTAGGGCAATTCCAAATTCTCCTAAGACAGACTGGAATTCCAATCTGACCACGGACGAAATGGCAATTCTACCAACGTTTGTCATTGATAAAAACATGTAGACTTAACTTCAGAACTAAAATTTCAGTTCCGTAACATATTTCAATTATCAATGCAGACCTTCAGCATGCCTGGACAACATGAGGTGACCTGTGGCCTGTCACGCGAGGTGACCATATCAGTCCTCCCCAGACTCAACATGGAGGAGCTGATATATGAACTCAACAGAAGGGTAAAAAACCTGGACAGAGAGAACAGCATCAAGGACAGACTGGTCGGCATCCTTAGGGATGTCATGTTAGAAGAATACCGTCAGTCAGAAAGGAGATCAATTTCAGATGTAGATTTTTCAAACCCTGTGATCGTACCTCGAGAGAAACGTACCAAAAGAATCATGCGCGAGAATGCCCCGACCGCGTACGCTGAAACAATGTCGTCAAGTCCTGGCCCCTCGCGGCAACGGTCTGGGCTGGACGTTGCGATGAACCCGGAAAATAACGATACAAGAAGTGAAAATCGCATGAATGCAAAGGAAGCCGAGCTTAATACAGACCAGGCACAGCTGCAACAAGAGCAGCTTTGTGACGTTCCCAGTCCAAGTTCATCAACACTTCCTTCAGAAGATACCCCTCCAACACAAGTAAACACCACAGCAGACTCCCCCATTGTCATCAAAGAAGAACCCTTTGACATGACAACTGAGGACGGAGAAACTAGAGCTTGTGATGATGATGCCAACGTTGACTCCCCTACTCTGGGCACGCACGTGTTCAATATAATGAATCCAATGAGTTCTTCTTCTTACCCGAAGAATCCTCTGGGAGGGAACAAATCGCGTGAGAAAATATCCACAGCCTCTCAGCAGCCAAATCCAGACCACAGTGACGTACGCCAGTGGGAATGCCACGTGTCTGAAGACGATAGAATCAGGCAAATATATCAACCGTCCAACCCAGATAATGCTGTAAGTTTTCCTGATGACAGAGACACAGGTTTCGTCGACACCGGACATGAACAGAGTAACGTCCAACGTGACCAACCCAGCAATTTCCCAACTTACGACAACAGGCCATCTCTTGTTCCCAATGATAATAGTATGCAAAACAATTTCAAACCCTATAAGTGTAACCAGTGTGGATTTAGATCGATGTACCCGCACAATCTGAAGAAGCACATGAAACATCACACGGCTGGAAAACGTTTCATGTGCAATGAGTGCGGCTACAGGGCCTACGACAAGTACCGGCTGGTGGAACACACGAGAACACACACTGGGGAGAAACCTTACAGCTGTGATATGTGCGACTACAAGGCCGCGTTTAAAAGTCAAATAATGAAACACATGAAGAAGAATCACATGACTGTGAAACCCTACAGCTGTGGAATTTGCGACCACAAGACTTATCAAGCCTCAGATATGAAACTCCACATGAAATGCCACGCACTTGGGTAAAAGTCACTGAAATGTTGAACAAATATGAAAACAGGAACTGCAAATAGATTGCAAGCACAACACACTGAGAATACCATTTTTGGTAGTTACAACGTACCAGCTGAAAATAATATGTGGCTCAAAATAACACCTGCATATGCAGGTTATTGGAGCCGTGCAGTATTATTTATGTCTATCTGCACCTGTACTGGATTTCTATATACATGTATACTAGTACAGTGTATATGTATATGTACAAGTAGGTGAATGTGGATTTTTGTTGGCTGCATTGACTGTTACCATCTAAAGTACGAAAGAAATGACAATGGCTTATGAACAGTTTATAGTATGATCCATACTTTATAAATTTTGGTGGTGGTGGTGGTGCAGGTAAAATTTATGTCTGGTGCAGGTAATTTTCAATGTAACCTGCACCAGTACTAGTGCAGGTATGTACAATGTAGGAAAAGTATTTCGAGCCATTTAGTGGGAGGAGGTTAGTTCTAGTGACTCAAGTAAGTCCAGTAGTAGTACTAGTTGTATGGTTCCCTAACTGATAATGGCTTTGTCCCATAAAACCCCATGGCCAGTATTATATTCTTTGTGTTTTAGAGGTAGAATTTATTACTTTATTATCTATTTATTCATATATTTATCTTCAAATGATTTTGTTACCTTGTCAAAAATATGGTTATTTATAAGCATGCATGTTTGCATATTTGCATGACGTCACATAAAAGTCAACCAGCCATATGTAGCTTCTGTTACCTTTAGAATACTACCAGTAGTAGTATTATGGTGCATCAGTGGATCCGTTTGTTTCTAGAAACTTAAACAGACCAACATCCTTTGGTATGCGGCTATTTAATAAACGTACATACTTGAAGCGTAGTCTCACAGAATTTCACTTTAATTCAATTTAATGTCAGTCAACACATCATCTGGATACAAATCTATACAGGCCTACATTAAAGGAACATTTTAAGATTATATTTTCTGTAAAAATCACAGAGACATTGCTCAACGAAAACAAAATTAGCAGAAATGCATACAAAGACAAAATACTTTTCTCACTTGGTACAAAACAAACATGCACCAACAAAATTCAAACACAATGTAATATCCAGCCTTGTCTCCCACTGCATTAGTTTACAGCAAAGCAAATATACACAGGAACAGTAACTTAAGTCTGTCAGCATGCCTTCAGCTTCAAATAAAATGTAACTAATAATATATACATACAATATAACAGTAGAAAATATGCACCAAGACAGCTGCCTATCTATTTTCTCACAACTCTACTTTGAACTGTATAATACATAAACAATTTGTTGATTGCAAGGCAACTGAAGTTAGAAGCAACACTAGAAAACTTTTACAGTAAAGTGACTGTGTGGGTCATTATCAGTACTATCTCTTAATATCTCCTGCCAAAACATACAAAATCCCTTTCACATTCCCTATCTTACACCAGAAGCAACAAGTGTATGTTTGAAGCAACGTTTCGTAAAAAAAAACTATACACGCATGAAGTATGCCACTTCGTCTAAAGCTACGGGGATGTTTCTGGTCTCCCCGCCCGCGTAGGTTGCCCCGTCCCTCTGGTCCCTCCAAACCCCACCCCCTGGGAAGTACACCGTCCTCGCCCGACCCCCCTGTTCCATCACCGGGGCAACAAGCATGACGTCACCAATCAGGAATTCATCGTCGATGGTTTGCGCCATGATGTCATTCGGGTAGTGCCACCAGAGCGGCCGGATGATTGGTGCGTAGCGGACTGCGGTTGGACCCATCACAACGCTTCTTGTAATCTGAAGAACCAATGGGGTAACCTGGAAGGAAAGGAAAGCATTAATCCAAGCAGATCCTTGGGGGCAAGCAGAGTGTATATTGGCCACCTGTAACAATCAACCTTCAGGGGTAAATTGGGTGGCCAATTTGATTGTCCCCTGCCCACAACTTAATATGCTTGGAAAAGCATGGCAATCATTGGACTGTGTTAAAAGGGTATTCTACAATGTTATTGCAAGAAAATATAACATTTATAGATTATTTCAAGAAAAAAAAATACAGTGCAAAAATTTGTACATTTTTTCAAGGGGGAAGTAAAATCATTAAGCTTAAAGTGTCCAGAATTACACCAATAATATTGCTATCAAAATTAAATACGGTAAAGATGATAAATTACTTTAAGCCGATTACAATTTCAATTTGTTTCATAGTTCAGAATATCCCTGTTATACCTCATCTTCGTGAATGGAGACAAATTTCTGAGCAATCTCGGCGGTCTCAAAGTCAAACTGCCAGGGGGAGATGGAGAAGTGCATGCTGGGAAAGAAGGCCACTAGCTCCATCCACCGGATATACAGCTCCTTGTCAGGGAATTCATTTCCTGAAAGTAAAAAAAAAAAAATAGAACTCTCACTGTAGACATTGTTGATTCAGAAATTCTGAATGTCTGCTAGAGTCTGTCTTTACACATTTCAAGGGTATGTGGCTCTCTGTGCCATTGAAAAGACTATCAATGAATGGCATTCAGCACCAAGGAAAGGTCTACATAGCTTATTTTTAACAAACGCTTGATTAGAAAAAAGGAACTCAAAAAGTCTGTAAAAAGGCTATTGTTTATTAGGAATTCTACATATCTTGTAGAGTCTGCCTGTACACATTTCAAGGGTCTGTGGCACTCTGCTATTGAAAAGAATCTAAAGGGATAGCGTTCAGCACCAAGGACAGAGCTATTTACTTTTTAGTAAATCTTTTCATTTGGTAAAGCTGTGTTGGACATTTTCCTGTTGCTTGAAGTACACAGTTGAAACTATTCTTTAGTGCAGAAGAACAACAAAACACTTTTTGCGGTATGATGGTTTTGCGGTAAGAAGTCACCGTTAAAATAAAATCATTGCGAACGTTCTGGCATTCTGCATTTACAGTTAAGTGAACAAACTTTTATAGAAGCCTGACCTCCAATGGGTGCCGGCAGCACATATGGATACCCCAGCACCCCGAATAGCAGCATGGAGGGGATGACTGTCCTCAGCCCGTTGTCTCCGCCCCAGCTAGACCGCTTCTCCAGCATACGGAGGTACACGGCGAAACTCTGCGTATGGTACGCGGTCCTCACCACTGTCTGCACACCCAGGCTAGACACCATCTCAACCCACTTTGAACTGTCGATAGAAGGAATATCAAGTTACAGGTGGTACTGTTGTTACATATATGGTGCTGTTGTAACATAAAGAAACTCTACAAGTCATATGGTACTGTACGGTATCTGGGCCTTGTCACTGTCTGTACACCCAGGCTAGACACCATCTTCACCCACTTTGAACTGTGGATAGAAGAATTTTGTGTTCACTATATGATACTGTGTCATACTAGTATGTGATACTGTTGTACCATGGCGAAACTCTGAACCCCGTATCCGGTCCTTGCCACTGTCTGCAGATCCAGGCTAGACACTAACTCTTCCCACTTTTAACTGTGGATAGAAGGAACATTGTGTCATAATGATACTGTTGAAACATGGCAAAACTCCGTCTGGTACCCAGTCCTCACTGATGTCTGCACACCCAGGCTTAAGTCACCATCTCCACCCACTTTGAGCTGTGGATAGAAGGGCTACTGTGTTACATGTAAGGTAATTGTAATACAGGGAAACTATGTGTCTTGTTGCTGTCCTCTGAACACCCAGGCTATACAATGCCACGACCCATCATCAGCTAACAAAAAGGAAAAATACCATGTTGCGGTATACACACTGATGTTATGATACAGGAACTACGTACACATACAGTGTGTAATATTTTTGGTAGAACTCAAAACAACAGAGAAACAGACAGTATATTATTTTCAGACTTACCTGTAGACGTTTGGGTTGATCAGGGATTCGTTTGTGTAGTAGGGGATGTCGGGGAAGTACCTCGCTTCCCCTGCGTCAACGTTGAAGGAGTCGACTGTCAGGTTCTCTCTCAGGAAGTGTAGCCGGGACAGGTACCACCTGGAGTATATATCAGTATCAAATGATTAGTCTAACTTTCTTCGCATTCTTCTTTTTTCTTATGCCCACTAGAGATAGCCTAGTTGGCCTCAACGTCTATTGATAAAGGGATTATTTAATAGTCCTCTTAGACATCTACTAGTAACAGAACGTTGGTAGAACATACTGCTACTATGTGAAGCCTGGATTTTTCATGGGTTTGTTGGATGTTTGGTCAACGTTGCACCAGAATATTGCTTGTTGTTGTGACAATATCTACTCCGACACAACATTTGAAAACTATAGATGCATTGTCATCCTTAAATATGCAAGTGCGACCTCAAACGAGACTGCAGAAGTGCTAGCCTCTACCAGGCTTCGGATGGTGGTTGGAAAGAGTAGAAATTGGCCAACTCCCCTGGCATGTTATCTCTCTATTTGGCCAATTTCTACACATGTACTCTTTCCAACCATCACCAGTAGCCTGGAAGAGGCTATAGAAGTGCTATGCGGATTTCACGCAGACACAATATGTTCTGATGGCGTGCCATATCTAACAGTGGTGCAATGACGTCACACGTACCTCCGTGCCTCAGGGTTGGTGACGTCAAGCAGGCCAGCCGCGCCCCTCCACCAGCGGACAAGGGCGGGGACGGGTGTGTCCAGGGTGGGGCTGTTTGGGTCTGGATAGGGCAAAAAAAACATACAAGAACTGTAGGATCCAAGGTCGATCCTTTTTGTCACATGCCAATGAAGGTTAGACATCCACGTAGAACACACAAAGTGATACATTATATTTAGCAAGTGGATAAATTTTCTGAAGAGTAAGAAGTTTCAGATGGCATCTGGATGCTGAAAGATAACATTTAAAAGAATTGAAGTTGATAGCAATGTTTACACATAGCATAGTAAGAAAGGTTCATTTACATAACCGTGATGTCAATGAAAAAGACTGAACGAGATGACTAGAGAGAGAGAGATAACAAAGCTACCACTGAGTCCAATATCCACAGGTGTCTCAAGAAAAACAGACAGTCACATGGTTTTGTCTTAATTAGGTAAAGTAGATTGTGACTCTAATTCATTCCTACCTGTACCATGTATGTATTACAAGATACTTTTTCAATGACAAAACAGAATGTACCTGTTCTGACCAGATACCCTTTCTCAGCACTCTCCCTGAAGGCTGACGAGTCTGTGTTGATGAAGGGCGTGATCCACAGACTGACCCCTAACCCCTTCTGGTGCAGGTAGCCAATCAGAGTGCTGGGATTAGGGTACTTGAAGGCGGTGGTGTTGAAGGTCAGGTCGCCATATTTGCCCTCCCATGCATCATCAAGCAACATGTTACTCCTGTAGAAAAAAGTTGAAATTCTGGCTAATTTTTTTTTGCATCAGGAAAGATGTGCAATACCAACTCTAGACAAAGTACAGTATTTCCCATTCCTCATTGTCATTACCAGTTTGTTAAATGTAACTGAAAGAAATGTGTACGTGTAATTTGACCTGAAACTTTGAAGCTTTGCTGCAGTACTGTAGGTACCCGCCAGGAGTCCTATTATCAAACTTGACCTTCGTCTTCGCTGCCCCTAACCATCCACTAAATATCATGACCACCATTCACTGCTTCTTCAGTTGTGAGTTATAGAATTATGTACAACTGTACATTTTGTGCTACAAACGTGCCTAGCTTTCCAAAAGTTATCATTAAATATGTGGTCATAATTGCACAACATTATGGAAGAATCTACCATACCCAGTTAAGTTGTACTCGGTGATTTGGACGGCAAACTCTCCCACTTCAGTCTCACTGACATTGGGTCCATACTGCGCGTAAGTCGACCAGACTGGAAACTCTAACATTCGCGTGTCAGGGACAGCTAGCGACAAAAACAGAACACTTCTCTATGTTTGTTTGTTTGTTGTTTGTTTGTTTCGCAATTTATTGCACTAATATTTGGTACAAGTAAAAAATGATGCTATGTACTAGAAAGGTAACATTTGCAAAGCAAATGCATAATGTTTACCTTCACATATGGTCTGCTCTGTTTATCTTACTCAAACACATTCACATATATGGTGACAGGAGTCTAAATCCCTCCAACTATAAAATTGCAACATTGTGTAACCCAACACCAGTTACCATGGTGACAGACGGTCTGGTTCAGGTCATTGACCAGGTCAGTGTTTGGAAAAGAAGTTACAGAGCAAAAAAAGAAGAAACAGAGCAAAAACAATATCTTTTCCTTCGATTAACATAATAATAAGTACACGAACCATTTAGTCTCCCATAGAAGCGGCTGTACATGTATTCATGTATGTCCAAGGCGTTTCTCCCGGAGCACACGGTGTACTGTAGTACCGGTCTCCTGCCGACAGAGGTCGCCGGGTAGTCTGACGTGTAGTTTGCCATGAAGCAAAGTTTCCCGTCAGCGCTCTGGTTTATACTGACGTGTAGAGGGGTGACGTCATCTACAACGATGGCAACACCCTAGAAAAATGTTCATGTCAAAAACCTGTTAGAAGCTGTGCGCCAAAATGTGATATTTGAAGATATCCAATTTCATTGTCGTAAACTGTAATTTTTTGCTTTTGCTTCTATTTTTTATTAGAAATGACATTACTAAATCAGACTCTGTGCTTATTTCAAAAGTGTGATTTAAAACATGGCAAGAAAGAATTTATTCATTTATTAGATTAAGGCAGATCTAAGATGATTTGTCTAGGAGAAATATTTTACATTATCTACAATGTCCAACAACGTAAATCTACAGGATGCAGAAGAGATACAGAACAGGTATGACTTGATGCTGTAACTTTCTTATCATTAAAAAGAAGTCTTAGAATACCTTAGAGGAGAAGAAGAACCTGTCTGCGACATTTCCGTACGCGGTGAAGTTTTCCACCGATGTGTTTACAGGGAAGTCCCGCAACTGGAAGTCATTGGTGATGTATGGCTGAAACATGAAAATATATTTCGGTATATAGAAAGATGATACTTCTTTCATATTGTACTCACACTACTTGTGTCCAGAAAATGTAATAATATACACCAGGCTATATGATATATTCATTCTCTATTTAGCAGTGCCAAGGGACTAGTAAGATGCCCTTGAGATAATCAAGTATTAAACAAGTACTCTAAAGCGTATGATAACAACATAACTAACTAAAAATATAACTGTAACTGAGACTGAAAAGCGAAGGGTTGTTAATTTATGTTAAGACTCAGGAACACTATATCTATATTCACAAGTATATATGTAGGCCACTTTCTTTGTACTGAAGATAATCTTAAGCTCTCTCTTCATACATCATTATGAAATGCCTCTTTTCAGGCTATCTATTGATGATACCCCCTTCCATCCCCTACCTGCATGACTCCTGACCCATTGTTGACCGGCCACCGCTGCTGGTACATGACGGGTCCGCCGTACCAGTGCGCCGTGTCCACCGAGAAGCAATCTACGGGCCTCCAGCCGTCCCACTCCGCCGACAGCGCCTGCCACGTCACGTTGGTGCAGTGGACGTCCTCCTCCTCTAGAACACGGTGCCGGAGGACCAGGGAGGCTCGGTCTGGCCACTGGAAGCAGGCGTCCCCGGTACTACAGGTGTACGGCTCCGGGCCCAGGTCTGCTCCTAACGTTCCTCTTAGAACCTCGTACTTGCTAAGATTCCTAAGTATAAAGGATTGGCTGGAGGGGAAAATAGGTACATGCATTAAGATGTCAACATGAGAAGAGAGTTTTCCTTAGGATATCGAACACGAGATATGTAATTTATACACCTAATAAATTAGGGCACTGTCTTATGAACAGGGCAACAGGCATACCATACAAAATGTATATTCAAGTCACCCAGATTTGTAGTTAAGACCAGTGTAAGGGCTAGGAAAGGAATGGAAGGATGGGGTATTAGAAAACGTTGTTGTTGTTTTTTTAATTACTAGGGAAGGCCATGGCTTACTCACAGAAGAAAAAGATAGGATACAGCAATGTCTAATAGCAAATTTCGCCCGAATTAAGCTCGTATCATTTCAGGACGAACTATGAATGTTACGAAAGCTTCGAAAAGGTTTCCACTGACTTTTTAAATTTTGCTAACTTAATCAAGAGTGTTAAAAAGACTCTTTTAAACCTTCTTTCTTGGCATGATGAAATTAAATTTACCTCGCGCCGTCGTAATGCACGAGCCCATCGAAGTCGACGACCAGCGGCTGGTAGGTGAAGTTCCAGACCAGCACTCCGGCCAGTCCCAGCGCCACCAGGACCAGCAGCACGATCAGCGCACACCGCGCCCGGCTGCGGGTACAGCACGGCGTCTTCTGCCGCGGAGGCGTGGAGGCCGACCGCTGACTTCTCCTGCCCGTGCCGGTGGAGTAGCGACCCCGGCTCGGCGGGCGGCGGTAGCTCCCATAGGGCGACGACGTCGAGCGGCGACTGCACAAAAATTGAAGCAAGGACAAAATACTAAGTTAGTATAGCTATTTTTGTATTTTTTTGCATGCCTAAATATGTTAAGATGTTTATCATTTGATAATCAATGTATATTTACAAAGCTTGTTTACATTTTATGTATTATCCTTTGCGTTGGCGGCAGCATATGAAACAAATGAAAGAGGACAAAATACTAGTACTCGTACTAAGATGGTATAGCTCTTTTTGTATGTTTTGTACGCCTAAAGATGTTGAGATGTTTACCATTTGATTATTTATGTACATTTATGTTTGTTTATAGTTTATGCATTGTCCTAGATCCTCTGCGTTGGCGGCGGCATGAAAATAAGTTTAAAACTTGAGTGTGCCGTCACCATGCCTTGTCATTAAATTTTGCTGTAAAAATGTTGAAGCTACGTGTAGGAAGGTAAGACATCCAAATAGAACGTTACGTAATACAAAATCAAAGGTATGGATTCTCAGAAGTTTAAGATAGCATTGTCTGAAACGTCTGACACCTGTTAAGGCTACATTCATGGTGTAAAGAATACAGTAACGTCAAACGTGAGGTAATTTATGAATGGTGAACATCTTAAAGTGGACTGAACCGGTTAACGTCCGCTAGGTCACCGTCTTACTAACTTAACGAGCTAGTATACCATAAAAAGCCAATTATAGCCCTAATGACGTAATCTACTTTCTACTGAGGAGCATATATATATATATATATAGTATCTACTCGAATAAACGTGAAACGCACATGAATGTAGACAAAAATTTATACGATCAATAGCTCAAATATAGAAACACAAAATGGCCAAAGGCACAATTCCGTCGACCAATGAATCATATATTGATTGAACCAAGAAGTTATAAAACACAGAATTTGTGCAGATAGTATGCTGCCATATACTTCAACGGCACTTGGCAATGGTGCCTCTGAATCGTTTCTTTTATCGTTTTCTCTTCTAGATACGAATTCAGGTCCTGTGTACTTCTAAGTCTTTTGCAATATACTGACAATGTTACGTTGGAATTCCGTAGCAAAACCATACCATTCAGTTCTTACACATACTCTACGTACACATTAGCATCAAGAACAACAAAATTTATGTGCTAAAATAATATTTCCTCGATATTGACATCGGGTCAGACACCCACAGTCATGTGCAGTGACTTGAAAACCTCAGTTTGCCCTATACTTCACCGCCACTCCAAAATACAAAAGGCCCCAAGTCCTCGATCATGTCTGCCGTATTTAACCAGCCTTATACAGAACCAACCTACCCTAACGAACCCTGCATGTTGTCCAAACGTCGCCGTAGATGTTTCTAGACCCGTAGCATCTTGTTTTGTACGTTCGTCAGCGTTTCTTTTGGTCTCAGAGGATCCAACTTGTTGCAGAAGTGGGGAGGGGGGTGAGGTACGTAAAGACCGTTATAACCGCCGTACCTAGCACGGTGTTTGAACTAGCGTGTCATAGTTCACTGCAACGCGTGGGTTTTACCTACCTGTGTGTAAAACTTGTTTAATGTTTAACGAGTTCTTCAACGGCTTACTCCAGTGAGTAAACAAACGTCATGGCTCGGTAACCTAGTTATCTAGGGTCGGGGTAGTACTCAATACAGGGCAGGGGTTCGTCAGAGACAAGTGATAACCTTCAACAACAACCACTGCAAAAATCCATTCTTTAAGCAAGACTTAAAGCATATGTGCTTAAAGATAGGACTTCGTGCAGTGATTAAGGCGAAATTCAAACCACCACTGGTTAAACATTAAGTAGTTACTATTTATAATTAAAAGTGTGTGATAAAAACTCTAGATAGGTATTGAGGTGCTCTCTCTCTCTCTCTCTCTCTCTCTCTCTCTCTCTCTCTCTCTCTATGTGTGTGTGTGCGTGTGTGTGTGTGTGCGTGCGTAAGTGCGTGCGTGTGTGTGTGATTGACGTAACTTGCTCCCAATGGAACACTGTGTAAACAGCTCAAAAAGGACCAATTTCGACTATTTTTTTACCTTTTTTCGTGTGTGGGTGTTTACCTCTTACTTCAGTGGGAAAAAGAACATTGAAATGTACCCTATTGCAGGATTTGAATCATTATTCACACATAGCTAACGTGTGTGTGTGTGCGTGCGCGCGCGCGCGCGCGTGTGTGTGACTGTAAACATGATAACTTGAGAAGGCCTTGATGGATTGTCTTGATACTTGGTGGGTGGGTAGGTCTTGATGAGACTTGAAAATGATTAGATTTTGGACCCCCTAGCGGCTTGTTATGGTACTGCAGCTGAACTTCCGGTTTTGATATCTCATGATCTAAACATGCTAGGGTGACGAAATTTGGTTGGTAGGTAGCTCTTGTGCTGGGGAAGAAGTTTTGACAATTCGAGGAAAATTCACACACCTGGTATCAAAACTGGGAACTATGAAATGCACTGCTACACCGTTACTAGCCCCTACCAGAGACACTTGTCTACTAGTTACCCTCCATGAAAATGGGGGTACTGTTTTTACTCCGTTTCATGTTTGGTCTGATATCTGAAGATCGGTGAGAAGGAACTGTACGATATTTGGCAGATTGATGGATGGGGCCTTGGAGATTGTGTAGGTTGACTTTGAGCCCCTGGTGATTGACCTTGGTACTGCAGTTTAATTTTTTATTCTGTTGTTTTCGCGTTATGGACTGTTTGTGCGATATTAAGGTAGCATGTAGTTGTTATTACCATGGTTTAGTGGTTTAAATTTGGGTCCCCTAGCTGTTTGCGTTTGATATTTACAAAATGTTTAATGTTGGACTTTTTGTGTTGAATGTTTGGAAAATCTAGGGGATGGTTTGGTATGATTTTTGGTATGTGGGTAGTTGTTGAGTCTCTTTGTGTTTTGGAGTGCATTAGCAGGTTGTCGCATATTTTTATTGCTTGATTTAAAAGGATTTTCACTTTTTCACCCCTACTTCATAATAGGATGGTCTGTTTGACCCAAAAGTTGGGACAGAGTGTTTTTGTTTATACCTCCAGCTGGTAGGTCAGACCCAGGCAGCCCTATCTATTTTTACCCCTATAGAGTCTGCAGGAAAATAAATCTTGTTTGTCTGGTCTGCAGGTCATTTGTCTGGTCATTGACCTACATGTACAGGCAAATGTAGCCTGGGTACCATCCCCAGTAGTATATTCGCAAACTCTATAACAGTTTGACTCATAATATCTCTATTGAAATACACCAAAAGATTACAAAATAACAAGCTATTTCATGGAGGGATGATGTCTACGACTTCTCCTTGTTTTTGTTAGTGTTACTTCTATAAATAAAGATCTTCTATGTACTGTATACTGTATATATGTACCAAACCACATCAATTCCTCGCTTTTCCAGTGGTGTTCTGTTGTGCTAAGCAAAACGTCTAGTACAGTATTGAGACCACAACTACAATACTTAATACATGGAACTGATGGTGAGTTCAGCACCAAGGAAAGGTCCACCCTTGGGGCCTCTCCCACTTAACAAATGGGGGGGGGGGGCATCTACAAGTTCGGGGATATAAACACTTGCAGTGGCAGAAGGTATCCTGATCGTTAAGTTCGGCACAGAAAACAAGCCAAAAAATGTGCGGCGTGAATAATCACTTTTGATTGGTGGCGGAACGGTGATGGTTAATTATCAAGAAAAATAATTATTAATTTCGTTCGCACCCCTAGGTAATTAGCACATATGGTACAGTCCATTCTACCAGCTGCAGCAGCTGTGTGACACGTTGTCGTGTGGCGTGTAGTGCGCGAATTCTCTCCAACGTTTTGGGTAAATTTTCGGCTTTCTGTCCGCATATTATCCGTCTCAAGTGTACAGTATATCGTCTGAACGTTTCCAGGTCGGATTTATGCCGTTCTTTGGATGTTTGAGGGAGAAATTTCGCATTTCCTGACAGGGAAAAGTTTGGAGAAGAAATGGCGACTGTCATGGCGGCGTGGAGCACATGGTAGTGCTGAGAAGACTCATTCTTGCGAGGTAAGGCAACAAACTACCAGTATCTCCTTGAATTGTACTTCCAACAAGCCTGTAGCAACAGACCACGTTATAATTTGTTATGTTAACCGTTATATTCCGTAGAAATTTGCGTTTCGTGGAACGCTGTTCCCGTACACAATGCATTGTCTTGAGTATTTCTTGAATAGAAAGGTTTTTTTTTGCTATCATGGTTTTGGGGAACACTGACTATATTTCTTCCGTGTTGAGCGGCATTGAAGAAAGCTAGGAGCAAATTTTGCAGCTAAAAACGGTTACAAACACGTTTTGTTTTCGTGGAAATTTCCACCTTTTGGAACGTACCGCACGTGTGCATAATTAAACCCACTCAACGTTCCCGCCAAAAACGTCGCGTAAAAATAAATGAGCATACATTATTCACTTCTGAGCACCCAAAATTAAACCTGTGCTCAAGTGAAAATAGTTTTACTGGATTTTATACTTAATAATTTTTATTGCCAAATTGTATCATTCTGTTTTTGGTATATAATTGTGATGTGGTTGCACTGATTTGGTATTGAGGGTGAACTATGCAATCTTGGTACTTTTTGTATCATTTATACTTGTACTATAAGTTATAGGATGTATAGCTAGTGTACAAGTACTTTCTTTTTATTATTTAATTGTACGCAACTGTGACCGCCATGTTTGCGGCGTATTTGTTATGTATTTGGTATCATTTGCAGGGCTCGAAATACTGGGTGCATGTGCACCTTAGTGCACCCAGATTTGGAGCTGTGCACCCAATTTTTTTCTGTGGGTGCACCAGTGCACCCAAATATTTTCTTAGATTTTGGTATGTTAAGATGTTAAATGTATAATTGTATACAGCATATTGTTAACCTCTAAGTGTCAGATAAATAATAATAATTAAAAATTATTGTTGACTTGTAGTACTTTTCTTTAGAAATGAAACTTAGTTTTTGCTGCTATTCTACTTATTTCATTATATGGTCACACAAGAATTTTTTTGTGCACCCAATTATTTAGGGCACCTGTTGTCAAAAAATGCATTAGATAAGGTTGCTTCGACTAAGTCTAAATCTATAGTTGGTAAGATTTGTTCAGTGTTATTATATTAATGGAAGTTTCTGAAATATATGGCAAGCTGATAACATCTTACATTTGTTCTTTTCATAGAATCCTGTAGTGAACTGTGCTCTGAGGGTCAGCAACCTGTGCAGGTGCTTGGATGATGTGAATACCCTAGATCACTATCAGGTGAGAAAAATCTGAATTCTGCATTCAACCTACTATTTACTTCATGTTATCTGAGACAAGTGTGTAACAAGTAACTAACAACTAATGTCTGTATAGTTAGGTGGCTGCTGACTGAACCTGACAAGAGAAGATTGGACCAGAGCAGACCTGGGGATCAGATGAATACCAGGTGAGAAAAATCTGAATTCTGCATTTTACTTACTGTTTACTTGGTGGTATTTGAGACAAGTGTGTAACTTCTAATGTTTGTATAGTTAGGTGGCTGCTGACTGATGCAGTAGTGGGGACTCCTGTCTGAACCTGACAAAGACAGATTGGTCCAGACCAGATGATTTGAAGACTCGAGAGGAATATCAGGTGAGAAAAATCCCAATTTTGGATTTTACCTACCATTTACTTGGTATTATTTTAGACAAGCATGTAACTTGTAATGTCTGTATAGTTAGATGGTTGCTGACTGATGGAGTAGTGGGGACTCCTGTCTGAACCTGACAACAGTGGATTAGACCAGACCAGGTGACTTGAAGACCCAAGAGGAATATCAGGTGAGAAAAATTCTGCATTTTGCCTACCATTTACTTAGTACTGTATTACAAGTGTGTAACTTATGTTTCTATTGTTAGGTGAGCATGCTGACTGATGCAGCAGTGACGGTGATTCCTGTGTTTTGAAGACCCAAGAGGAATATCGTTGAGAACTTGAAAACTAAATTGTAAATTGTACCAGTAGTAGTTTTCTTGGTGTTAATTGAGACAAGCATGTAACTTTTTAATGTCTATGTAGCTAGGTGACTGCTGACTGATGCAGTTGACTGCAGTGATGATTCTAAAACTGACAAGACCAGATGTTCGTGTTCTGAGAAACTTGGTGACCGGCAACTTCAGTCCAGACCAGCAAATCAGATGACCTGAAGACAGTGAGTTTGTACAGGTGAGACAATGGTCATCAATTTACAAGTTATATTTTTCTAAGGCATGTGACAACTCTGAGGCATGTTGCAATAGATAACAACTTTCTAGAGCCTAGGATTTTGTACATCTATTGAACGAAAGGGATTGCCCAATTGTGCAATTTTATCACTTAGTCTATCTTTAATGGTCATTCAGTGTTGCATCACAATAACCATCTGTTCATATCGGTAGGTGTGTCCTGAGTGTCAGCTATCCTGATATTCCTGTCCTGACTGGGAGAAACCTGTGATGACCAG